TCACCCAGTTGGCTTTCATGCCTAAGGCGGGACTAGAACTCACCATCTCCTGATGATTGGCCTAAAGTCACCCAGATGGCTTTCATGCCTAAGGCGGGACTAGAACTCTCCGTCTCCTGGTGATTGGCCCAAAGTCACCCAGCTGGCTTTCATGGTTAAGGCGGGACTAGAACTCACCGTCTCCTGGTGATTGGCCCAAAGTCACCCAGCTGGCTTTCATGGTTAAGGCGGGACTAGAACTCCCAGTCTCCTGGTGATTGGCCCAAAGTCACCCAGATGGCTTTCATGCCTAAGGCGGGACTAGAACAGGTTCATAGACTGATGCCTTCTAATTGCTAGACCTGTCCCTTCCAACTTCCAAAAGGAAGGGGGCAAAATAATTCAAGTTTCTAGCCCACCCATTTCTTGCATTTTGCTCAGAGAGCCAAGTCCCCCCGGCCATAGAGCTGATAATGGCGAGACGGCTGGGCTTTCTAACCCCACCGTGTCTTTCTGGGTTGCCTCTCTGCCTAGCTCTGCCCAGGACGAAGCTAAACTCTTCCTCTGGTGGCACAAAATCCTGCAGCTCTGCCTGCTTCAAGCCGAACAGGAAGATGCCATCTTGATGGAATCGGTCATCCGGGTCTTGACCTCTCTGCAAGGCCGGCAGAGCCTGCTGGCTGAAGAGAGACTCACCTCTGGACTCCTCGGTGCTATTGGGCTGGGCAGGAGATCTCCTTTATCAAACAGGTAGGAAGAAGGAGAGAAGGTGGACCTCCCGGGTGGGGTTGAAAGTGCCCCTGAGGTTTCCTGTTCACCTGAGCGTCTAACTCAGGGGTCTTCCAACTTGGCCCTTTGATGACTGGTGGACTTCAACTCCCAGAATTCCTCAGTCGGCCATTTTGAGGAAACTGAGGGCTTGGATCCAGACCAGAGGTCTTCAAACTTGGCCCTTTTATGACTGGTGGACTTCAACTCCCAGAATTCCTCAGTCGGCCATTTTGATGAAACTGGGGCTTAGATCCAGACCAAGGGTCTTCAAACTTGGCCCTTTTATGACTGGTGGACTTCAGCTCCCAGAATTCCTCAGTTGGCCATTTTGAGGAAACTACAGCCTTGGATCCAGACCAGGGGTCTTCAAACTTGGCCCTTTGATGACTGGTGGACTTCAACTCCCAGAATTCCTCCGCCAAGTACATTTCAAAAGGTTGAAATGGTCCAGGATCTTGATAAATTAGATCAGGAGTGTAACCTTGGCAACTTTAAGTCTTGTGGACTTCAACTCCCAGAATTCCTCAGCCGTTATGGTCAACTGGGGAATTCTGGGAGTTGAAGTCCACAAGACTTAAAAGTTACCAAGGTTGGACGCTCTTGAGTTAGATAGAAAACCTTTGACTTACGCATCTACTTCAAGTTGCCTCTGAAAGTTCGTAGGCTTCAGGGCAACCTCATTGAAAAGTTCTTCTCACGTAAAAAACGAGGAATTGGACAAGGGCCATAGTTGATCCTCCTTTTGGATACGCTGCTTTTCTTCCTTGGAAGATCTTGCTGATTTAAGTTTTGAAGTAAGGTTGAAACACCTGGGCTTGCCTGAGATATTTTGAATCTGAAAACAGGATCCTTCTACCTGAGCATAGACAATCCTTCTTCAATCCAGGTGGTAGGACATTCTTGGTTAGAGCAGGGGTCTTCAAAGTTGGCCCTTTGATGACTGGCGGACTTCAACTCCCAGAATTCCTCAGCCAGGCACGCCGGCTGAGGAATTCTGGGAGTTGAAGTCCATCAGTCATAAAAGGGCCAAGTTTGAAGACCCCTGGTCTTGAGTTTGTCTCTGGAGGTTCTCAGTCATCCAGGTTTAAATTGTATCCTCAAAGTCACCTGCAGGATCTGATAGGGAAGAAAAGCAAAATGATGACACTCAGTTTATTCATAGAAATGCAACTGTAGATATAGAATATGAAATTCTGATTTCCATTGAAATCACACTCCCAGCAAATGAAATAGTTCCCTCTTGCATTTCAATTAGCAGGGATTCATGAAAATATGGATTCAGTTTATTGGTTTGAAACAGACACAATGGTAGCATACACCCAGAATTTGGTCTGATCACTGAAAAAAGATGAGCGTATGCTTTACATCGGTGTTTGCTTAAACCCCTTAATAACATTTTTTTAAAATGAGGACTGTCCATGACTTCTTATAATGGGGGACAAAAAGAGCCATTGAAATACATTTTTAATTATAATTATTATTTTTCCTTAAATATAAATGCATTGATAAGTCCTAATGGGATCTACTGGTGTGGTTCATCAATGTCTGGAGAAATATATTTTTTTATATTTGGTAGTTGCTACAGTAAGTGTGAAAAGCCTGTTTTAGAAAGATTCATCAAAGCAAAATGTAGTAGGACTTTCTATGCATTTTTATTTAAAAGCTTGTACTCTTTGGTGTGGACCCTGAGGAGACAGATTAAACCTCCAAGTGGCCTCAACAACTCTCTAAAAGAAGGCAAATGAGCAGCTGTCTGCAAGGAGTATCAATCCTTCCACTCCCCACCATCCAGTCAGAGCTGAACAAGATTCTTGGATGAGAAGCAAAATGTCTTCCAAGGATAAACAAGCCCAGTTGCCTCCTGGAAAAAAAGCACCTTTGGCGATTATTGATTTCCTAGCTGAGTCAGATAGTTGTTGAGGTCACATCACGCGGCCACAAAGTTGAGTTTAATTACACAGCGGTGTTTGGGGAGAAATTGCGAGGAAGACGTGGCGTTTGCGTCGTGGGCGTGAGAACGGAGGAGGTGTGGAGCCTGCCCCCAGGGACTTGACTCAACTCTCCTCCTCTCCGGTTTTTCTCTTGGCAGGTTCCGTGTCCTCGCCCGGAGCATGTCCGCCTTCCTCCTGGTGCAGCTTCCTCTGGAGAATCAAATTCGCCTGCGGTCGGGGCTGGAATTGCAATCCTCTTCCAAAGCTCAACAGGTCCGTGGGAGTCTTGGTGGCTTCTAAGTGGTTGCTCTGACGCGGCCTCCCCCCTTGTAGGAAACTCTGTGTAAGAAACTGGTGAGGCTGAGTGTCTACGGAGATTTCCCCCGTTCTCCAGGTGATGGGTTGGAGCAAAGTTGCTTTTTCAAAACAAGCAACTGGACTTTCGCCTCTCGTCCAAGAGGCTTCTTCAGTTCTGGGGAACGGAAGGATTTATACTCCTTGCAGACAGCTGGTCATTTGCCTCCTTTTAGAGCGTTGTTGAGGTCATTTGGAGGTTGACCTGTCCCCTCGGGGTCACCTGAGTGGTGCAAATGGGGGTGGAGCCTTTTTGGAACTGCTGAAAGGACGGTGTTGTAGACTGGAGATAGATAATGTCATATCTCTCCCCCTCTGTTGAACAGCCCTCTCTCATTTGAACGATCACTAAACAAACTTTTGTAAGTAAAGGGCTACCTGTATATAAAACGGGATGTGACATATGTGTGTGTGTGTGTGTGTGCGCGCACACACACACACACAAATACAACTGCAATGTCACTCAACCACTATGTCAAATAGATCCTAAAATGGGGTGTGACTCACTGAAATGTTGGGATATATATATATACAGTATATATATTTGCCATAGTTGTTTATAGAATAGAATAGAATAGAATAGAATAGAATAGAATAGAATAGAATAGAATAGAAAATGTGGAGTGGAGTAAAGTGGAGTGGAGTGGAGAGTGGAGTGGAGTAGAGTAGAGTAGAGTAGAGTAGAGTAGAGTAGAGTAGATGGAATAGAATGGAATGGAATGGAATGGAATGGAATAGAATAAAATAGAATAGGGAATAGAATAGAATAGAATAGAATAGAATAGAATAGAATAGAATAGAATAGAGCAGTGATGGCGAACCTTTTATTTATTTATTTATTTATTTATTATTTGAATTTATATCCCGCCCTTCTCCTTGCGGACTCAGGGCGGCTGACAATCAATTAAAAACACCACTAACAATCACAAGTTAAAATTAATTAAAATGAAATATTTAAATTGTCTAATTAAAAAGTAATTAAAAACCCCTCTAAAAAACCCCTCTTAAAAATTATCCTAGG